GACAGATGACCGTTGATATATGATTGGCTGAATTTAGGTGTACAAGCTGACGTAGAACTAACTGGCCTGCAGAAGATAACAAAAAATAAACACAGATTTTAATACAGGATTTTTTTTTAAATAGAAATTTTCTAACTTTTGGGGCAACATGGTCTGGTAAAGAGGAGGGCTGGGTAAAAAAATCGATTTAATCGATTTTGGATCGATTCCTTTAAACTTTTGCAAAACGAATGTCTAGGGAATGAGATCGATTAGTTTTATAGTGCGTGGCGTTCAGATTCAAATGAGCAGGAAAGATGACTTCAAGCCAGACAGCTGCAATTATAACCAATAGGTTGACTGAAGACATTAACAAATGGGGGCTGACCAACAAACACCCTGCAGTAGTTACAGACACTTCTGCTGTGTCCCCTCTGTGTCACATCTGCTCGCTCGAGTGAGGCTTCACTTTTTCACTTTTCACAAATAAGTTTGCACTTATGAGACCGTTTTGTTCACATCTCAAGTTTAAAATGTCTGATTTACAAGTTTGCACTCGGTGTTTAATATGGCAGGAAAAAATAAAATACATGAGCATTTTGAAACACAGGTGAACCACTTTCATTATTGTAAAAACAGATCGAATCGGAATTAATCGATTTAGAACCGTATGAATCAAAATCGAATCGATTCACAGGGTTCGATGTTAGCCATTGACCGTGGCAAGTCGTTTTTATTGTCGGGAAAGTACAAATTTCGCAAAAAAAAAAAAAAATATATATATATCACTCAAAAATACTTTAAAATCACCGACATTTGCTGAAAATGATCCACAAGCGTTGCCGGCGCCGTTTTTGTTGTTTTGTACACATTCTCGCGTGATTTAAAAAAGCCGCGTGATTTTCCGACAGATGGTGTGATTTTTTGTCCACCTAGCGTTTAATTTTTACGTAGTTAACAAAACAAAACAAGCTAGAAAGCGCTATCATATGGCAGTCTTCTGTACAGTGATGCAGGTCATACATTAAAAAATGTTATTTTTTTCTCTTAGACATTGGAGTGGTGCATTTAAATGTTATAGAGCTAAACATGTTAAATTGGAGACCTGTTATGTTTTTATTATTGTCTTGTTGCTGCATTTATTTTGTCAGGGAAAACTAATCCTGAGTCAGTTAAAAGTCAGGGAATTCTGAAAT